TGCTTCTACTGGATTTAGAACTAAACTCAAAGGAGAAATTGGTGCAGAAATATTAAGAATGCTAAATAAGAATTATAGCTAAACGCAATTTAAAAAAAATCGGTAGTTATGCAATTTTTGAATTAAACATACAGAGCAGATTGTTACAACAACACTTATTAAAATCAATTTTAAGTTATTAGTTTTCCAATTTAAGGAGCTAAGTCTATTTGACGAATTATTTTTCTACTTCACACAAAATAAGAAAAAGCGAGAACACGATAAACAGCAGTCGCTTAAAATACTTTTATCTATTTAATTTCTCTTTCGTAAACTAATCTGCTAAAAATGATTCCCGACTATTAAGTGCAAGCGTGAAATTAGTCTATTTATAAATAAAAATAGCAATATCAACTACATTTTCTGCAATGCAAAGTAATGATAAAAATTATGTATGAAATTAGGAACAAAGCATAATTTTGATTATTAAATATTTATTAGAAATACAACATTAATAAAGGTCACAAGTAAAAATATAAAAGCATAATGGCTATCGGATTAAACTTTTAGAATTTCACAAAGTCTCAGATGGTAAGATTAAAGTATTAGAAATGTTTCTTCACTCAAGTGAATATTCTTTACTGATAATAGAAACAATTTCTTCAAAAGCATCTTTCTTATCATAATTACACTCGCGACGAAACAAATAACAAAACAAATAATCTACTTCAGAAATCTTACGTGCATATTTCTTGTAGCCATCCTGCAAAGATTTCAACTCCTCTACTGCTTTTCCAGGAATATCGGATAAACAACTGGAATACTGCAAGTAGCTGTCATTAAAAGGAACTGAAATGCCTTCACCGGATTTTATAATAGTTCCTTCTATTACGTGCTTTTTCACAAGAGAGAACAGAGCTTCATCTGACCAGCGATCATCTCCATCACAGATTTCTGACCTAAAACGCTTGGATCCAGTTTCTATAAGCACTAAAATCCAGCTGCCTTCAGCAATAGGGCCGTTGTCTCGCTTTCGACGACCAGCCTGTAGAACTTTCATATCTACTATGTTTTCTTTGCTTCCAAGTTTACTTTCATCGTTGGTTCTCTGCAGTAAATGTGAAGATATAACTTCGTACAAATAGCAATACCATTCAATAACTGTTTCTCGGCTTATACCTTTTTCACCGAAAGAACACTCCAAGACAGCAGTTTCGTAATCAAAACCTCGAGCAAAACAATATATCAACGCAAGTATTTTTCTAGGTGGAACCTTACAATTAAATCCAAACCAAGTTCCTTTGCTTCTTGGCACCGTTTCAATTTTACCGGATATATGTTTTTTCGCGCACTTGAATTCCCCTAGATTGGAACTCTTTTTGTCGACGGACATCCCATGTCCTTCAGAACAAATTTTTGTTGCGAGAATCAGGCCATGATCTTCGCACCACTTCAAACACGTTTCATCATCCTTAACAACTTCCAAGGCAAAACGGATGAAGCACCACGTTGGCATTCTATCTGGATCTCAACATCCACTATAGAATCAATTTTTTATGCACAACAAAGGCGATACACGACATCCACAGATCACTATTCCGACACTTCTTAATCTACAAACGTGTAGCTCTATTAAAGTATTATGCAAATTTTGAAAGCGGAAAACCATGAAAAAAAAAAGCGCCCTCTTACGAAAAAGATTTTTATAACGTCAGCAAATATGTAAAATTTTGGAGTTCTGATTTTATATATTTAGAGGAAGTGCTGAAGTTTATATCGTATTTCCCTTTTTAAACCGTCCAATGTTGCCTGTTCATTAACAGCAGACAGATTGCGTTACATTTGGTTACTAATAGTACATATAAAATGTTATTATTTTGACTGACTGAATTATTTAGCAGATGATTATTGTAGACACATTTGCCACATTAATTTATAGCCAATATTTTCCAAAATTAATGCTACGTGTTTATCTTGAACGTATAAATGAAATTGCAAAATTGTTAAGGAATAATAATAAAAAAAATATTATACCCACAGAAAAGTTTTTATCGTCTTCGAATGTTTCTAATATTGACATAAGTCTCTTTATTTATGTGTAAATCGTTAAATACATGTAATTATAAGTAAAGAAGTTTTAGATACCACATCTAATTAATCAAAGTGATTAATCGAAAAATGTGTCAATGGCCATACCATGCTGAAAGTACCGGTTCTCGTCCATCACCGAAATCAAGCAGCATCGGACGAGGTCAGCACTTGGGAGGGTGACCACCTGGGAACACCACTTGCTCTCGAGATATTTTTGCCGCGCAACTGGTATAGTGGCTGATTGCAGTGCAGTATCGCTGATTTCAGTGCAGAATGGCTAGGGTTCGAATCCCGAGAAAATATGAATGTTTGTAAATGTATAGTGTCCGTGTGGCATGGGGGCACTCTGAATATGCGGCAAGCTGGCAATTCTCTCGAGAGGTTGTTGGTAGGGAAAGAGAGGTAGGAGTCCCTCGAACCCATCCTCCGGGGATCAGCATCTGCACACCAGTCAATAATGTTTTTGAGCCGACTGGTTGCATATTTATTATATGGAGACTGTTGTACCACATGGACTTATTTTTATCACTCGGCTGCCTGAGTTTCTGATTTCTAAGTAGATTGCAGTTAAATGCAAAATGGTCCGGGCTGCCTTTTTCACCACAATCACAAGATGGATTATCTTTAATCTTAAAGCGGTAGAGATAAGAAGGAAAGGGGTCGTAGCCTGTCAAAAAGAGTGGTATAGTAAGGCGGAATATGTCTGTCCAGAGAGACCCTAGATATGTACTTATATACTCTTCGTCCTGTGGCGCTTCTATTCCACTCGTATTGCCATTTAGTCATTAGTTGAGACGTAGTTTGTTGCTTGAGAAAAGAGACCGGTTTGAGAGCCGGTATTTCTGGGAGTGTGGTAGAACATGCCGCTTCTTTGGCAATATGGTCAGCCATTTCATTGCCATATATGCCCACATGTGCGGGGATCCAGTGCAGATGAGGCCTATTGCCTGAATGGAATACTTGTAGCAGCAGATGTCTAATATTATTCACTAATGGACTGCGTGAAGCAGTCCCTGCTGTTGCAGTTAAACGTGAAGCTGAGTCCGTATACATGTGATTAGAAGCTAGACGCGCTTCCGACAAATAAATTATAGCTGCTCTAATCTCTAGCAACTCTGCCTGAAAAAAACTGAGTTAAAAAGTACTCAGTTTCCTTTGCTACTGGTAATTAACTCTATTGTTTTCGATATAGGAGAGGCCACTGCCTGTTCCCTCTAGGTATTTGGAACCGTCTGTATATATTCCATCTGCACTATTGAGATCATTTGGTTTCATAAGCTGATTTCCCACCAATCGAACACATTTGAATGTGATTGGACGCCATTTGCAGACCCTGCCATTGCCTCGTTGCAAAGACGAACTGTGGCAAATGGTTGGGAGGAAATGGAGAGGCATTCCGCACAACACCATTCGTACTCTTATTGACTCTGTACCTAGAAGTGTAGTTTCGTATATCGCCGCCCAAAATGGTCCTATAACAAATAAGGCCCTCTGGACAGTTAGGGATTATATATGACTGAGCAATGCGTGCACAAGAAAGTTTAGCTGTACATTATTTCATGTGATATCCAAAAGCGTACCATCCATAACATCGTATTATTCGATAATACTTGCGAAACGTGCAGGTATTAAATCCAATTATATATCCAACGACGGTAGCCAAATGCTGCGACATCTTGTCTGATTATTCCTAACACAAAGTTCTTGGTACCAGAATTGCTGTTTTTACCAGGAAAACTTGTAACCAGTTGTAATGGTTGATGTAGTTCTGAAGACAAATGCGAAGCGGAAGAAGTTTGAATATCTGCCGAAGTGGCATTTGAAGGCACTTCGAAGATGACAATAGTATTCATTTGGTGATCGAGGTTCAAAAAATTTATGTTTTTATGTCAGTACTAGAAGTAACAGAAGATTTCATTTTGGCTTGTTGTTCATTCTCTGAAGCTATTTTCCGCTGAATAGAAGTCCAAAACTAGTTTCAAAGATATTTACGTAATGTAGAATTGTCATATATTGTTTTTAAGACTTGAATGAATGAACATAGTTCAAGGAAAAAACCTTATTGGACTTCCATTCAGGGGAAAATAGTTTCAGAGATATTTAAGTAACGCATATCTGGTCATAAACTGTTTACTTACGGATTATTGCAGGAAGCACAAAACATTTGATTAAGCACGTCTACAGAATTATTGCACAATGGAACTCTTACAAAGTGCTTTCCTATTTTTGAACTTTGTTTTAACAATATGACACTAAATATTGAAGGCAGCAATATATTCAATAGCATTGATCACAGTCGAATAGATTATGTACATACAAATTGGTATTTAAGTTACTTTAATCATTTTTGCGATGTTATCATAATACTTTTGCAATTAATAATCATGGTGATTACGTTATGTTTATTAACGAACATATACGCTGCACATTTGTGTAAAGAAGTCTTCTATCAAAAATTTGCTATTTAACTTAAAGTTTGCTATTGAATAAAATAAAAGCCGCTGATCTGTAGGATTCGCCTTGGCGATTGCTGTAGTTGAGTGGGTTTTTTTTTTTTTTTTTCCGTTGGGTAGGCATTATCTTGATCTTACCTTTAGGTCAACAGCCTGCTCAGTGGCATATAAATATAAATAACCTATTGAGCCGACGCTGTTCTCGCTCTGTATTATGCATTATTTCGAAATAAAGATCATTATTTTTCGTTGCTGTTTCTCTCTTTTTGCCGAGTTTTATCACTTTCTGGCCACTTTTTGGTATCTGATGAAAGTATAGTCAGACTGAATTTTAAACCAGCTCACATTGGTGTAGTGGTTTGACTTATAACATTCAGGTTAGGCTATATTTCTTATTTATGTATAACAAGAACATAGAATAGACTATATAGAAACAAAATACGAATTACCATAAAGTATACTTATGAATTGTCTTACCCTTCCAGCAAAAATGCCGCACACTCCAATAACAAAGAGCACATTAAAAACTGCCGATCCTACAATAGTTCCTGTTCCCACGTCTCCTTTGGCGACCAACACACCTGCAAAAGAAGTTTCTGTTTCAAAACTAATCAACATAATTTTAATAATTAAGAATATTTATTACAATCCTGTCAATTAGATTTAATTTTATTAACCAGGAAAAATTTTCCCACAATCTTGTTTATCAGATTTAATACTCTTCCAGGTTAATTAATTCTTAAAAATCTTTAATTATTTAAAATATAATATCAGTTTTCTGAATGAAACATTTTTAGCTGGCATGAGTATTTTCTACGAAATGCTCGATTTGCCAAGTTTCTGTTACTAGAGTTTTTTTGTAGACCTGAGATTCGAATGAAACGGTATGTAGAATTTTATTTGATACCTAAGTTCTTCTTTGAGAAATTTATTTATTATTTTGTAAATAGTATAGAAGATTCAAGATTCTAATGATAGTTTTACGCATTATTAAATCATCGAAAAATATAAAACCTTCTTTTCTGGGGATCTATAAAAGTTTCACTTCCTTAATATTGCATACATTGAATAATACAATAAAACACCATATTGTTCATAGCTATTTTCAAACTATAATTTTCACGTTATAATTTTTCACGTGATACGCGATTCTTTTCAGTTGCAAAAGGTTTAAATGCAATAGGTCGAAGTTGAACGAATTGAAGTTCAATTTAAACAGGGATTTAACTGAAAATAAAAAGATATTTCATATATAAATAAGCTTATGAGCGTTTTCTTTATTCTCAAAATTATAAATTCTTCGACACAAGCTCGGAGAATACGTTAAATGTAAATTATGTGTTACCCTTAAATTTTAACATACCAAGAATGGCAGTGAAAAGTTCAGGTGCAGAGCTTCCTGCGGCCATGAAAGTTGCCCCTGCAACATCTTCACTAAGATTCAGCCTCTGAAATTAAAAAAAAAAATATTACTATTACCCTCAAAATGGCAAATAATTAGGATTTAATTTTAAATATACACTGTGAAAATTTTTAGGTAGACTATAATGTTTATTTTACTCATAAATAACTGACCATTGTATTCCTGACCGTTGAAACTCCTAAACTCTAATTCTAGAAGGTTGACAAAAGAGGTGAGACTGGAAGATAGTAATTTTATATGCATATGTATGTATATGTGGTAACACTGCTCAGTTATATGATAACTGCGTTATTGTCCATTTGATAACTGGGTTAGTATTAAAATAAGACTGTGTCGTTAGATGAGAAAAGATGACCTGGTGAGAGTTGCAACGGATTGGCGTTGGAGAGGACTGCGTCTTAACTTGAAGACTTTGTTGCGTAGCTAGCACGACGAGTGCATAAACCAAAAAACTTGCAAACATGGCGACAAATGATTTTATTTCTTGATAGATAATGCACATTATCGCTGTGGTTGCGCTATGCGCCTCACAATTTTGTTCAGCTTACGTCTTAAACAATGGACAAATTTAGAAAAGGAAACCTTACGTAGCGGAAAGCAGCGAACGGAAGAGACGAGCGAATAAGAAGAGAAGGGAGTTACGACGTAAGTCAGCTTTTTATATACCGAATTCCATTTCAGATCATGTGACACTTTAATGTACAGGATTTTGGTTTCAGATTTCATCGGTAAGTGCGTATCAGAACTGCAGGGAGAAAATTTTATTGTTGTTACTTTTAGAATGAAACGGAAGTTAAAGGGCTATTAATTTATTATTTGAAAGCTAGATTTTTTATACTTTACATATTAGATATTTTATATCTTACATATATGTAGTTAAACTACTGTAATTTGGTGTGACTATAGACTCAGTACAGCTATGTTCCAATCGCGTTTGATAGTGATGTTAGAGAGCAATTCAGGAAACTTGCTTCTCAAAAGTTTATAGTCAACAATAGTCTACCAGTAGTAGAATGACAGCTGAAACCAGTAGTTTGATCCGGGGGTGACTGCAACAGTGAATTTGACCGCAAAGAACTTTCATATATTTACTCAAGAATAATGTGAAAATGAAGCAGTTTCTCTTGCAAAATGTTTTTAGTTATTGCACTATCAGAAACATTTCTTCAGTTTATATTATATTGTTCGGTTTTTTTCAAACGCAGGAACTTTAGAGGTGTAAGAATTGTAAGAATTGGAGGCTCCTTTCAGCCCACCTGGACACGAGTGTCCCGTACCTGATTAAAGGAACGATTAATTAGAGTGTACATTTACATAGAATGTTGCCTAGCTCAGTGGTAAAAGCATGATTATACTAACCAGCCCCTATTACTTGACACGCTTAAGAATTATTGAGAAAAAATGTAAGCAAAAAAGATACGAAGTTAAAAACAGTAAATAAAAAGGATTTGCTTGAGCCTTTCTATACTTAGTTTTTAGTATTATCACAAAAATAATTATTCGGATATGATAAAATTTGCTCTCTTTTGCGTCTAAATGTCATTGATAGCAATATTGGTACTTTCTCAAGGGAATAAATTTAAGAATTTCTCATTATAAAGAATTTCCGCACAGATAATTTTGACACGAATATTCATATTAATGACCCCACCATTTTTCAGATATTACCCTCTTTTAATTTCGTCTTGTAGTATTTTCTCCCTGATTTCTGCATGCCTTCGTGGTGTAACTGTAGCACATTCGAAAGGTCCAGGCTCGAATTCCGGCGAGGGAATTGCACATTTTTTCACATCTCCAACATCAAAGTAACTTAATGACAGTAGAAGTACGAAAGTGTACAAAAAGACAGGCAAAAGTAACTTTATGAGAAAGTTTACAGTTCAAATGACAAATATTGTAAAATTCAAAACATAAATAAAACAGACTAGCAAGACTGTTTTGCAATCCGTTTTAGTGTGTACATGAAGTAAAATTAAAAACGTGGGTAGTTCATCATTCGTTAAATGAGCACAGAAGACTTCTTAATTCTGGTATTTCAATTTGACTTCAGACTCTGGTGTATGACACAACTCTACAGGTATTTTAGAGTTTGTTTTCTAATCTTTAACCTAAATATAAGAATGCCCTAATATGGGTTGCTATAATCTAATTAATGTAACTTAAAATATGATCTGTTTCTCTTGTAAAATCCTTCACGATACATCCCTCCGTTTTATAGCTTTTGTCTATCCATATTCAATTGAACAAACAAATAAAAATCGATTAGTCTGATTTTCAGTTACGAAAGCTGCATCCACTTAAGTTTAAAAAGTTAAAATTTCTATATAAAGGTTTATTATTTATAGCTTTAAGTATTATAACAATCCTGAAAGAGTTCATTCAAACTGTCAGTTGCAAAAATTCAAGCTCATTCAGTAAGATATAGATATGCAAGTAGTCAGTTCTCAGACTGTGATAATACTATGAGGAACTGGTTGTTTGCAAGGCCCAGCGGTGAAAATAAAGATTTTGTGGTTTTTCACAATTACAGCGCTACTGAATCGTACGGTTCATAAATGCATCATATGGTAAACATAATTTAATATAACAAGCCCAAACATTTTTAGAGATTTCACTAAGAATATTTCTAACATCAAAACTAATCCAAAGAATATCGAAGATCATCAAGACCGGTGACCAATTTTTGTTTTACTAATCTATATTTATTAAATTTAGGCACATTATTAAAATTAAATTTGAAAGGAATAGGATGATATTAGTCACCTGTTACCTTATGGTTGATAGTTGCCGGCATGAGGTAGCGCAGTATTTCGTGCATTTTCGAGGCACTCTGATGATAAATGTATGGTAGCGTTATGTACCCATTTAGAAATTTTAGAAATACCACAGAACTACTTTTAAATGAAGAAAGGCTTTAATTACTTTAACAACATTTGTAAATTTTTAATATCTAACCTTTATATGGAATTAATTTTTTTAATATCTCAAGATCTGGAGAACAAGAATGCGAAATAAAATTAGGTAACAGTTTCTTCGATTCCAACAATGACGTTTAATGACGTATTAACGTTTTATGCTTTTACAGGCAGTTATGAAATCATAAATGTGTTTTGTAGTTGCACTATCAGAAACATTTCTTCAGTTTATATTATATTATTCGGGTTTTTTTTTTCAAACGCAGGAACTTTAGAGGTGTAAGAATTGTAAGAATTGGAGGCTCCTTTCAGCCCACCTGGACACGAGTGTCCCCACAGCTCAAAAGAAGGGTCCCCGTATCTCCACAAACGAGGGCAGCCAGTAAACCAGCCACCACCAAACAACAAACAAAAATACTAAATCAAAAATAAGTAAGCACATCTAACACAAAATTGCAGACCAACAAACAAACAAAAAAATCCATAAACACAAATTCACAACATAGAACACCACAGATATCCAAAACCCATATAAACACAAAATTCAATTTTAACAGAAGATTCCTACCAGCGCTCTAATTTTATTGATAAACTTCATTAGAGCAATAGAATATGATTTAAAAACTTCAAAATTAATGACACTTACATTAAAATCAGTAATGTTAAAAATCTGTCTAATAGGGGCTGTTAAACTACGATCAACCACGAAATGCCTAGCATCACCGTCAACCTGACAACCATTACATAATTTATTTTCTTGCAGATTAAATCGGTTGAAATAGAACGGAAACCGATGCCCAGTTAAAACCTGATTAATATCAGTATTGTTCATACATTTCATTTTATTCGTAATTTTAATTAGTTCCATAAATCCTTTGTTTTTAGGTGAAGAGAACCACTGTATTTTCCATTTGTTAAGGTAAAATGTTTTCATTCTTCGAAGAACAATTCTCTTCGAACCTTTTACTTCAATATCCATTGCACTGACATCTGAGACCGCCTGCTTGGCCAGGCTGTAGGCCCTCTCATTACCAATAAAGCCTACATGGGCTTTGACCCAGTGTAGCTTAATATTTAAATATGAACTCAAAGTTTCTAAGTGACTCTTAATTTCGACAATTAATGGATTGAAATTGTCTGGGCGGGAGAGCGCATGGAGAAGTGACAGGCAGTCAGTGTAAATATTTACAGACGTGGGTATAAACAAGGTATTTTTAATCCATAATAAGGCTTGTTTGAACGCTTCACTTTCTTCTTTGAAAGATGAATTATATATGTTAAACTTAAACATTCTATAATCCACCTCAGTTCCATAATAGAAAACAACAAAGGCAGCTCCTACGCTCCCTCCGACCCCAGAACCATCTGTATAAATATCAAACAACATCAACAGTTGGATTACTTTTATCAAAAACAAAGACAAATCTATTGGAAGGATGTATTAAATGAATATTAAATTTTTCAAAAACATTCTTTGTAATTAAATAATCTTCACACATTTTCAATTCCATTCGTCCAGTTCTAAATAAAAATTTCTCATAATAAAATTCGTATAAAATTGAGATAGGAGGCAGCCCAGCCAACACAAAGACGGCCTCGGTAGACACCGTTCTAAAACATAGGGTTAAAGCTAAACCCCAAGCTCTCTGAATACTGTCTAACTTCATCCGTAATCTAATCAGTTCCCCTGCCCTGGATCCCCAGGCTCCAATTCCATACATGATGATTGGAAGCACTACATTTAAGTAAATCTTCTTTAGAATGGAAGATTTCAAGGCTAAAATCTCAGGTGAAAAAGACACTTTAGAGGTGTTTGGTTTTATGCATTTCTGTTTTGCTTAGTGTCATAATTAATTAAGAAGGATAGGATCGACGGTGACCCACTAAGCAAGTATGCTGCGGGTTTTAAATTAATTTCAGAATCTCAGTGTTAAGTGAGAAGTAAAATTAAAAACATGTTCTTAAAACTAACGTTTTCAAAGGATATTCGTAAAAACTTTAAAAATAAACAATAAATCGAGTTCAAAAAACGAAAATACTGAGTTGTTTCTCTTTAAATTTTCATTTTGTTTTTCCTTTTGGTATTTTGCTTATTTTTGTTTTTATATAT